TATATAATATATAATATATAATATATAATATATAATATGTATAATATATAATATATAATATATAATATAATTTACCAAACTGCACTATTCTTTCGCACATATAAAAATAAGTCCAGTGATCACAACTTTTTTAAAAATACTGAAAATAATTCAAAACAAATACTTCACGCACACTTATCACACGTTTCTATTTCTTTTGCACTAAGCCCCGCGATTAATTTCCTGAGTACAGCGACTCACGTCACTTTCAAAATAAACATGTTTGTTATACCGTTAATTAGCAAAACTTCTCTCGAACAAATCTCAATAGTTCTCAACTTATCGATTGCAAATTCTTTTAAAATGAAAAGATATCGTTCAATTGTAATTAGTGTTACCATTAATCCGATTTTTTTGAAAAAGTGACTTATACCACTTTCAAAAAACATAAACGGCTCATATATTGATTCCTGAAGCAACGAAACTCGTTCGATTCGTCGATCTACGAAAAGCGCGAGAAGACGCGCGTAAAATCAAAAAAACAAACGACCGCGACGCAAACGAAGAATACCTCCACGTGCACCTGGAATGCGTAATCGAGGAGGCAAACACGCGAAAAGCATCGCGTGAGTCAGAAAACGAGGAAGATCGATTAACTATCCGAGAATCTAACTTCGCGCCACTTAGAATTATTAAGCGCGTGTTTATCTCTCGGCTTGGCGCGGATCAATGTTAATGCGGCACCGCGCAAACTTCAATTTCCCGACCTTGACAGATATAAAAAGAAGCCTCGCTCTTCGAACGATCTACGACGGCTCTGCGAAAGCGAAGACAATTCCGACAATCGCATTCGTCGGTAAATAAGACCTGAGAGACGGCTGTCGAAAGCTGGGCGGTAATTTATTCGAGGATACACTCTCTATATATACGTCTCCCTAATTCGCGCTCAGATTCTGCACAAAAATGGACAATTTGGGAAGAGAAGACACGATTATTCGAGCCTTGCAGCTCGTCTTTATAGTTACCGATTGTTAACGACTATAAAAACGGGATGCGAGGCTCGAATAATCGTATCTCCTCTTCCCAAATTGTCTATTTGTCGCATTTTTGCGCGCAATCTGAGCGCGAATTAGGGAGAAATTACTGCATTTCCTATTGCCTCCTACTTAAATTTACTCGTTCGTTCATTTGTTCCCGGGCGGAACCCTTTGGCACAAGAGAAGAAAAACAATAGAAACTTTATACAAAGAAAATATTATTACGGCGACTTGCCCAAATCAAGTCGCTGTAATGTGAAACTGCCCTGTTGTGAACAACTCCTTAGGAAATGATGGAAGTCAGGGGTTACCACTGAATAGTAATGTCTCCCTAACTGACGCTAAGATTGTGCAGAAAAATGGACAATTTGGGAAGAAGAGACACGAGTATTCGAGCGTTGCAGTTCGTTTTTATAGTTGTTGACAATTCACAACTATAAGAATGAGTCGCAAGGCTCGAATAATCGTATTCCTTCTTCCTAAATTCTCCCTAATTGACGCTCAGGTTGTGCACAATTCGAGAACAGGAGATACGATTATTACGATTATTATATATATACGATTATACGATTATTGCGCCTCATTTTTATATTTGTTGATAATCGACAACAGAGCGAAGACAATTCCGACAATCGCATTCGCAGGTAAATAAGACCTGAGAGACGGCTGTCGAAAGCTGGGCGGTAATTTATTCGAGGATACACTCTCTATATATACGTCTCCCTAATTCGCGCTCAGATTCTGCACAAAAATGGACAATTTGGGAAGAGGAGATACGATTATTCGAGTCTTGCGGTTCGTTTTTACAGTTATAAAAACAATTATAAAAACAAGGCTCGAATAATCGTATCTCCTCTTCCCAAATCGTCTATTTTTGTGGACAATCCTAGCGTCAGTAAGGGAGACATTACTGTACAGTAATTTTTAAGCATGAAAATGAATAATTTGGGAAGAGGAGATACAATTATTCGAGTCCTGCGGTTTATTTTTGTAGTTATAAATTGTCCACAATTATAAAAACGAGTCGCAAGGCTCGAATAATCGTATTCCTTCTTCCTAAATTCTCTCTAATTGACGCTCAGATTGTGCACAATTCGAGAAAAGTAGATACGATTATTACGATTATTATATATATACGATTATACGATTATTGCGCTTCATTTTTATATTTGTTGATAATCGACAACAAAGCGAAGACAATTCCGACAATCGCATTCGCCGGTAAACAAGACCCGAGAGACGGCTGTCGAAAGCCGGGCGGTAATTTATTCGAGGATACACTCGCGTTGAAAAGGCCGCGAATGATAAACCGGTAAAAGGGCCGTGTGCTCTCGTGCTCCGGAAATGCCATAAGCCGTGAGACGTTAATCGCGGTCTCGGCGGGGAAATGGCAGGGGAGTGCTCGTGAACGTTCGCGGCCACCCCGGCGAACGTTCGAAGGACCCGTGAACCTTTGAATTCCTCGAAGGGTCATTAGGACAAAAGTATACCTGTGTCCACGATCCTTCGTAGACCTGTTGTCCCCGGACAATGCCTGGCCCGACAAGTGTTTTCGTATCTGATTGACCCATCTTTGGACGGAACACTCCGACAAACGGCTAATTTTTCTTCCAGCTAACGACCTTCGTATACCTGACGTATCCTATTCCCCTCCCCCGCCCTTCTCTGCCCCGGTCAACCCCTCCCTCAGCACCTTTGTCTTTTCGATTTTGTCTCGTTCTCGCCCCGAAGAAACAGTCTCGCAGGACAGCAGAGTCACGCGTGCACACCGTGAACGTGTTCTCCTCGATCTCTCAGCTCGTCCTCCGTCAGCCATTCTCGACCTATTCGCTACCAATCGATTATTCGTTCTCGCGGAAAGCGGTTCCATTATCTCGAAGGATGCCGAAGATAAGCGAAGTCAAAGTCGTCTTCGTTTCTGCGACGTTTCCGAGCGCAGACTCTGCCGACGCGATAGCAACAAGTTGTTCATTTTTCGGGATACTGTAATTGTCTCCCTAATTCGCGCTCAGATTCTGCACAGAAATGGACAATTTGGGAAGGGGAGACACGATTATTCGAGCCTTGCAGTTCGTTCTTATAGTTGTTGATAATCGGCAACTATAAAAATGAGTCGCAAGGCTCGAATAATCGTATTTCTTCTTCCTAAATTCTCCTTAATTGACACCCTGATTGCGCATAAAAATGAATAATAAGCAACAAGTTGTTCATTTTTCGGGATACAGTAACTGTCTCCCTAATTCGCGCTCAGATTCTGCACAAAAATCGACAATTTGGGAAGAGCAGACACGATTCTTCGAGCCTTGCAGTTCGTTTTTATAGTTGTTGATAATCGGCAACTATAAAAATGGGTCGCAAGGGTCGAATAATCATATCCTTCTTTCCAAATTCTCCCTAATTGACGCTCTGATTGCGCATAAAAATGGATAATTAGAGAATTTACGATTATTCGAGCCTTGCGCATCATTTTTGTAGTTGTTGACAATCGGTAATTATAAAAATGTGCCGCAAGGCTCGAATAATCGTATTCCTTCCTAAATTCTCCCTAATTGACGCTCAGATTGTGCACAAAAATGGACAATTCGAGAAAAGGAGATTACGATTATTCGAGCCTTGCGCCTCATTTTTATAGTTGTTGATAATCGGCAATTATAAAAATGAGTCGCAAGGGTCGAATAATCGTATCCCTCCTTCCCAAATTCTCCCTAATTGACGCACGGATTGCGCACAATTCGTGTAAAAGAGATTACGATTATTCAAGGTTCGCGCCTCATTTTTATAAGTTCTTGACAATTCGTAACTATAAAAATGAACCGCAAGTATCGAATAATCGTATCTTCTCATCCTAAATCGCCCATTTTTTGTGTGGACAATCTGAGCGTCAATTAGAGAAATAAATGAGCCGTTTATTTTGAAAGTGGCATAAGTCACTTTTTTTTTTTTAAATGAAAAGATACCGTTCAATTGTAATTAGTGTTACCATTAACTCGATTTTTTTGAAAAAGTGGCTTATGCCACTTTCAAACTAAACCGCTCAAATACAGAGTCATGTATCAGGACATTTTCATTCCTCGCAGGCTTCGCTTCGACACGTCGACGGGTCCGTTTCAAAAAGCATCGAAGACTTTCAACAGATTCCGGCGATCGGATCCGCGTAAACCGGACGATCGAAGGTCTCGGGAAAGAACGGGGGGGCGATATGCCGGTCGCGACACGGTTTCGCGATTACGGGTCCTCGGCCGCGAAAAACGGGTTCCAGGGAGCCGTCGCGTCCGGCGGTTACGAAAAAAAAATTCTCGGTACACGCCCGAGATATATGACGGAAGCAGCTAAATGCTTAAACGCTCGAAACTCCAGGCTTAAATGCCGTTGATTGCAGTAGGAGGGAAATGAGAGGTTGCACGACGAAGTCGTGTCTCGTGGCCGGAGCAGCGAGCACTGTTACAAGGCGACCGTTCCGAAGCGTACCGGTTCCGAAGCCGAGTCCTTCCTCGAATAGACCGAACGGACGATCCCGCGCGGTCCAATTCCCGATCCGAATGCTGCCGCCTTCTAGCAATCATCGAAATATCTTCGCATTCCCGGTGATTGCCTGCGCCGGCGGAGCGCGGCGAAAGGTGGACAGCGCGTGACGGTGCCCAGAGACGAGGCGACATTGTCAAATAAACCGTCGAGACGGTTTTCGCGCTCGGCGTTTCGTAAGTCGGCTCGCACAAACGACCTCTTTAGAATCCATAATACGCGCCGAATCTGCGACGGAGTTCGAAGAGAGGATCGTCCTCCGGACGAGCGCGATCCGCGCTCGACGGCGAAGCGTGGAGGAAGCGCGTAAGAAGCGCGTCTCGCTAAGGGATGATCGGTCGGTGGATACGGTGGAAAGGAAGGAAACCCCAGGACAGAAGGGTCGAACCTGAGGTGCGGAGTAGGGACGCCGGGGGGAGTCAGGGGGGGTCAGCGGAGTCGGAGAAACGGGTAAAGGGCGGCAGAAGTCGAAGAAAAGGGGGAGGTAGGGGGACGAAGGGAGCGGGAGCGAGGCAGAGGGTCGGAGCCAAGGCGGAGAGAGGCGGCGCGGGACAGGTAAAACAAAAAGTCGGGAAAAAATTGGAAACCAGTCCCGCGCGGTTGGTAGATCGGGAGTCTAGCAGACTGCGCGAACGGACTCCGCTCTCTTCTCCTTTTCCACTACCATCGCTATCAACAACTACCACCACCAGCCTGTTCGGCAACGACTTACGGTAACCAACTACGCCAGAGGCTGCGGCTGCAGCAACAGCAGCAGCAGCACAACCACCACCACCACCATCGCCACCACCATCGCCACCGACTCGCTTGGCTACCATCGCCAACACCTCTTTTTCCTCCTCCTCCACCTCCTTCACCTCTTCCCATTCCGCTTCACTCCGTTTCACTCGGTCCACGCGTCCTTCCTTAATTCAGTCCAATGAGAGCCGCTCTTCGATTCGTCGCACCCGTCACAGATCTCTCTCGCGCGTCGATTTTCAGAGGATACCCGCTCGATTCTGTTCTGCGTTGGCTCTCCCGCTGGCCTCTCTCTCGCCTGCCTCCGTCTTCACCTCCGCCTTCGCCTCCACCTCCGCCTTCGGCCGCTCCGGCTCCAGCTTCTCCGACCGCGCCGCAGAGTCGAGAGCTTCGGAGCCGAGAGGCGATCTCGACTGGAATTTCGCGAACCGGTTCTCCACCGTGGACACAACACCAGCTACGACCGGAACGGATTCTGTGTCCCGGAGAAAGTGCGTCTATCGCGTAGTGTTTGGCCAGTGCGAAACCCTCCGGCCGGAGAGGATCCCCTTTGGATCACCATACTGGAACCGCGGAACCACGTCGTGGAACCACCTCGACTTCGAGGATACACCACCTCACGCAGCAAATATGTCTCGCAATAGTTGCAACGCGAACCGGTTGCGCGCTCTTAAAATAGTTCACCGCTTAGCATAGGTTTACCGTTTTGCCAGCTTCGCGCCGTTCACTCGCTGGAACTCGTCGCAGGACTAACAAGGTAACCAGCGATCCGTCACGGATCCTTCTTCTTCTTCTTCTTCTTCTTCCGTCGATTCTAATATCGGCGAACGGTTCCGCCGAGATCCGTCCGCGTCCGCGGCGAACGTTTTCTCGCCATCGATTCGCTCGCGGTCGCACCGCGGCTTCCGCTCGGCCCGGAGATTCTCCGTTCTCGTGCGCCGCGAAACGTCGCGGCAACGCGTCGTCGAGTTTTTTTTCTTTTCGAATCAAGGAACCGTCGACGATTGTACAGCTCGGTCGGAAAAATTCAAGAAAAATCGACGCGATTGAAGGTGCCTCGGTTCGGCAGCTTTCGCGCGCGTAAGAACGGTTCCCGCGACGATTCTTCTGGACCGATAAAACTGTTGCGTGCCAGTTTCCCGGGATTCGTTCGTGTCGCATCGTTTCCGAGGAAACGACTATCTTCTTGTCGGCCGCACGCGTCCACAGACGGCCATTTCACGGATTGATCGGAGGAGGGTGAGAGGGCCCCTTTCTATTGCTTCCGAGAACGTGGAATAGACCGCGCGTTTAAGACGTCGCCGCGGACGCGGCTGACCGCGTTCGCGCTGCGAACTGTTCGAACGATCGTTTCGATTTGGATCGACTGCGGCGATCGATGCAAATTGATTGTAAATTATTCGAAAGCGGGGACCGTGTCGACGAACATGAACGAACGACGTTTCTCTTCTCGACGACACGGTGTTATGTACCGTTGCTTGTCGTGTGTGAAACTTCGATGAAATAACTTCGATGAAATAGCTTCGATCGACGAATTCCGATGATCGAGGATGAGGCGACAGGAAATGGGAGATAGAAGAGCGCCGAATGCGTTTACTGCGACGCAATCGAACTCGATTTTCCATTGAAGCGAACGAAGAAAATTGGGAAGATGAGACGAGGCGGTCGAGCTGGGAGAATATATATATAGATATATAGATATAGATATAGATATAGATATAGATATAGATATAGATATAGATATAGAGATATAGAGATATAGAGATATAGAGATATAGAGATATAGAGATATAGATATAGATATATAGAGATATAGATATAGATATATAGAGATATAGATATATAGAGATATAGAGATATAGATATAGAGATATAGATATAGAGATATAGAGAGATATAGATATATATATATATACAGAGAGAGAGAGAGAGAGAGAGAGAGAGAGATTCGAAAGCCCCCGATAATAGGCGAACATAGGTGCCTTCTGCGAAGCCGATCGCCGTTTGTTATTGAAGCTATTCCATCGCCTCGGGCCAGAGCAAGTCTCGACGAGGCGAGGCGAGGCAAGGCGAGAGGCGGCTGTTAGCAGCACGTTTGTCCCTGGACGACGATCGCAGATCGTTTACATTTCAATACAAACTGGAATCTTTCTAAAACTGTTTTAGCCTGCTTCTCGGTCTCGCAGCGCCTCGGCGACCGTCTCCATTGTGATTCCATCGTGATTCCCTCCGGTGCATAGGACATCCGCGCGGCATTTCAATCAGTCGCCACGGAGAATAAAAATCGCGGTGCCGCGACACGCTGCGCCTGTTTTCGACTCGAGTTTCGCTCGATTCTCGTTGCGCGTCCTCGCCGAAGAACCCGCCGGCCGGCGAAGTACAGTAAATGTCTCTCTAATTGACGCTCGGATTGACCGCAAAAATGGACAATTTGGGAAGAGCAGCCTTGCGAATTCGAGCCTTGAAACTCGTTTTTATAGTTACCGATTTTCAAGAATTATAAATACTTTAAGACTCGAATAATCGTATCTCCTCGTTCCTAAATTGTCCATTTTTCTGCACCATCTTAGTGTCGGTCAGAGAGACATTACTGTACATATACCCAAAAATGTCTCGCAATCTGAAAGCGGCGGGTTCCTCGGGTCGTTTGAAGCAACTTCTTCCTTTACAAAAATGTTCTCCGAGGCACCGTTAACGAGTTATTAACGAAAAACAGCGACCAATAAGAATCGAGTACGGCTGACGCGAGGCGGCCCAGCCAACCAGCGCACGAAGCCCACTTCCGCTCATTGGCTCGGTCGCCTTGCGCCAGCTGAGCTCGCCTCTCATTGGCCACTGTTTTTCGTTAATAACTCGTTAACGGTGCCTCGGAGAACATTTTTGTAAAGGAAGAAGTCGCTTCGAATGATCCGAGGAACCCGCTATCTCCGGATTGCGAGACATTTTCGGGTCACCCTGTACACATCGCTCGGCAAATGAAAATCAAATCGAGTCGAGCTTCGAATCGCTCGAGAGTTCAATCGTATTCGATGAACTCCCTCCGATTTCTGAGAATGCAAAGCAGCCTCGCGGCTGCGTAACTCGCGCGCAGTTTCGCGAAACGGTCGCCGTTTCGCGACGAGAGCATGATCGCGGTTCGATGCACGTCCTATGAATAGAACTTTCGCGAAAGATCGATGCCCACGTCGCATCCACCTGTTGCGACTTCTCGATAATCTCGTTGGTGCTCGAGCACGGCTCGAGCTCGCCGGCCACGGGCGATCGGCTTAAGGGGTACACGATTATTGGAAGTCGGACGATGCGCTTGGGGAAGGCGTAGAATGGCCCCTTTTGTTCAAATCCGCTTAACCGATTCCGACGAAATCGAATTACTCGTAAATAGTGTCTACAATTAACCGTAGCCGTAGCGTCGAAGCGGATCCAACTACTAGAAAGTGTAACCGTTGACTTCTGCCGTTCTCTAATAGTTCTCCGTAGCCCCCCTCGAGCCTTAAGCAGGGGTTTAATGAAGTGGCGCTAGCCAGGGTGGCGGCGCGGGGTCGCCACCGAGACAAAGGGACAACGGGGCCGGCAATTACCTGGAGGAAGTCATCGTAAAACTGATCCAACTCCGTCCATTTACGACTGCGCCTTCTCGAACGCGACGGTGGGGGCAACGGCGTGAAAAAAAACGAGGCTCGGGCTTTCGATCCTGTTAGTCGGTGGAAACGCGGTCGAGGATAAGCGCCGGCGAAAAGTTACGCGCCGGAAAAATACGACGATTTCGACGAGTTTTCCGCGACGAGTTTTCAGCAATCGCGACGCAGCGTTTTTCCTTGCCGAGGTAACCGGCCGGGTCATTGGAACGGAATTCCTTTCCGACAATAATTCGCTTGAAATATCGTAGGACGCGCGATTATACGCGATATAAATAGTCGGTTAATTGGCACGTTCGAAACCCGCAATTATTACGCGACCGGCGATCGTTTTGCATGAGATTATCGGTCCGCGCGCGTCCTTTCCTTCTCGGGATCGTGTGCTTTTCATAGACCAGATAGATTCCTCGCATCCTTCGCCTGCGGCGGAACACTGTTGGATCCGTTGCATACGCGAGATTCTGTTGTTTTTTTCTATGCGGCGACGATGTGTCTACGCACGTTACAAAAAACACATGTCTGCGGCCGGTACTCGTAACTGTGGTAGAATTGCAAGCTGTTTCAAAGAAATTTACGGTAATTTCTCCCTAATTCGCGCTCAGATTGCGCACAAAAGTGGACAGTTTGGGAAGAGGAGGTACGATTGTTCGACACTTGCGTCTCGTTTTTATAGCTCAATAGCTAACCATCGCTAACTATAAACCGATCGCTAACTATAAAAAAAATACAGTAATGTTTCTCTAATTCGCGCTCAGATTGCGCACAAAAGTGGACAGTTTGAGAAGAGGAGGTACGATTGTTCGACACTTACGTCTCGTTTTTATAGCTCAACAGTTAATTATCGCTAACTATAAACCGATCGCTAACTATAAAAAAAATACAGTAATGTTTCTCTAATTCGCGCTCAGATTGTCCACGAAAATAGACAATTTGGGAAGAGGAGGTACGATTATTCGAGCCTTGCAGCTCGTTTTTATAATTGTTGACAACTCGTAACTATAAAGATGAACCACAAGGATCGAATAATCGTATCTTCTCTTCCTAAATCGTTCATTTTTGTGGATTTCGATCTACTTATATAGATAGTATTTTCATACGGTGACCAGATGGCCGAGCAGTACAGTAATTTCTCCCTAATTCGCACTCAGATTGCACATAAAAATGGATAATTTTGTGAAGAAGATTTTTACGTCTCGCTTTTATAGTCGTTGACAATCGGTAACTATAAAATCGTAAAAATATAAAAACATAAAATCGGTAAAATGTAATCGTATCTCCTCTTCCCAAATTGTCCATTTTTGTGCGCAATCTGGGCGCGAATTAGGGAAAATTTAAACTATAATAATTAATTAAAATATATTTAAACTATATCAAATTAAACATATATAAATTTAAACTATAATAATAATTAATTAATTTAACGTCTAATTTAAACGATAGTATCTCGGAGCGAAATTACGGCGATCCATGTACACAGAGGACCTTATCCTCGTCTGGACAGAAAATGTACCTCGAGAATTCCCATTAGAGAATTGAAGATCGCGACGGGGCAGAATGGACGACGAAGACGCGAAGATCCGAAATTCGTTCTTTCGACCATATCCATCCCCCCCTAAATAACATCTGGACTCGTGTTCATGCATATTCTTAATAACCTTAATCGAGCTTCATAGTCGTAATCAACGCGATTCACGGTCCTCTCGCTACTTCACGCCGTCGCAGGAAGCCGCGAGTGTTCAACTTCGAAGACCGTCCCAGTACTTTTCCGTTGCCGCGCGCGAACTTTGGTTTCATATCGGTGCACTTTCTTTTGCAGACCATCATGACGAGTTGGAGCAGGACGCTTATCGCGGGCATCGTCGGGATCTTGTTTCTAGTGATCGCGAGGAATTACACCGAGGCTTGCAACGAGGCGATCTGCGCCAGCGTGGTGAGCAAGTGCATGCTCACGCAGAGCTGCAAGTGCGACCTGGTCACCTGTGCCTGCTGTAAGGAATGCTTCTCTTGTCTCAGCTACCTCTACGACGAGTGTTGCTCCTGCGTTGGTGAGTATCCTCCCTCTTAACCGTTTGAGACCCAGGGGATATTGAAAAAACACCGTCGAAGAATCCCAAACAGCGCAACCGCGCTTTCTCTAAACGAGTAAGAAAAGATCTCCAAGCAGCGCGATAGCGCTTGTTTTGTTTTATGTCGAGAAATACCAAGCGGCGCAATAATAATGAATTAAAAATTGATATTTTGTAATGTATTATTGCATTATTATAGTATTATTCTACCTATTGTAAAATGTAGTATTTACATGAACTAGTTAGCTGTGGCGCCTCCATTTCATAGCACGCACCTACAGAGTGCCCCAAAAATGTCTTGTAATGCGAAAATGGTGAATTCCTTAGGTTATTTGAAGTAACTTTTTCCTTAGCGAAAGTGCAAACCGCGGCTTCGTTTATGAGTTATTAATGAAAAATGCCAAGCANGCGGCGATTAATCGACGGCTTCCATTAATTGATACGGTCTCGTTAGCCGGGCTTTAATTAGCGCCCGCGATATCGGTCCCATCCTCCGCGTCTCTTTAATCTCGCTCTTTCCGGCAAAAAAGAATCGCTGGCCCGGAGCAGCGCCCGCCGCTCCGTTTCCCTCTCCCCCTGTCATGGCGCGTTTTCACGGAACAATGCCAAGTTGACGGCGGAAAGTTAACGTTGCGCGCGCGAAACCGTTTGCCAAACAATGCGGATAAACCGGCGAATTCAACTATCGCGGCCTTTTTCCATTAATCGCCCCGTTCATTTGCATACGAGCGCGGCCTATCCGCCGCGATGTTTTTCTCGCCCGACGTGCCCATTGTCTCTGCTATTTTTTTATTTTTTTATTTTCTTCTTTTTCTTTCGCGTTTCTTCGCGCAAACCGCGATCGATCATTTTTACATTTGTCTAAATACCCGCCGACGCGTTTCTCGCGCAAGCACGATATCGCCTCGCGCGTTTATTTATTACCTCGGTAATAATAACTCGTTGCTATTGCCTGCGAATAATTTGTTATTGCATTGCTATTGCACGCGATCTCGGTGTATACGTCGCACCGAACCTTTCCTTTTAGAAACACGTTGTACATGCGTGTAGCGCGGCCATTAAAAGTGTCTTGGATTTAATAGCGGAGTCGTCAAATATCTCGGACGTATATCAATATATACAGCCTGCCCCATAATTGTGGTATTTCCGAGAAATGTGGGGTTCCTGAGATCATTTGAAGCAACTTTTTCCTTTGCTAAAATGTTCTACGAGGCTTCGTTTACGAGTTATTAACGAAAAACGCGGACCAATCGGAGGCGAGCACTAGGCCGACGCTAAGCGGCCGAGCCAATCAGCGGAACCGGGCTTCGCGCGTTCGTTGGCTCGGCCGCCTCGCGTCAGCAGAGCTCGCTTCTTATTGGTTGGCGTTTTTCATTAATAACTCGTAAACGAAGCCGCGGTTTGCATTTTCGCTAAGGAAAAAGTTACTTCAAATAACCTAAGGAATTCACCATTTTCGCATTACGAGACATTTTTGGGGCACTCTGTAGGTGCGCGCTCTGAAATGGAGGCGCCACAGCTAACTGGTTCATGTAAATACTACATTTTACAATATGTCTCCCTTACTGACGCTGAGATTGTCCAGAAAAATGGACAACAATTTGGGAAGAGAAAATACGATTATTCGAGCCTTTTGTTTCGTTTTTACAGTCACGAATTGTCTACAACTATAAAAACAAGCTTCGTGGCTCGAATAATCGTATCTCCTCTTCCCGAATTGTCCATTTTTGTGTACAATCTGAGCGTCAGTTAGAGAGACATTACCGTACTCGTCAAACACATCTAACTGGTTAAAAGAAGCTGTGCGATGTGCTTGCTTCAGTAAATCTGAGCGCGCTTCGACAATCGGTAACGCGCCGTCAGTTGCGTCCACAATGTTCGAAATATGCTGGATTTTCTCTCGACATACAATCTCAACAGCGCGATCGCGCTGCTTGGGGACTCTTACAGTTAATTTGGAAAGCGTTCTCCGATAGAAAGCGACCGATAACGGATTTCGTTGTCTCCGATAGATCTCTGTCCGAAGCCGAACATCACGGACAACCCGTTGAGCAAGAAGTCCCACGTGGAGGACTTCAGCGAGCCGATGCCGGGCCTGTTCCAGGCTCTGACAGCCGAACCGGACGCGCACGAGCGCTGGCTCACGTTCACGTTTCCTGTGGACTTCGACATGTCGCTGTTCACGCCGAAGCACGACAAAGAGATGAAGTACCATATGCGTGGGTATTCCGTAGTTCCCGGCTTTCGCTCCGGAGTTTCTCCCGGCCGACGGCTTACAGAGGATCGATTCGTTTTACAGAGACCGCCGACGAGGAGGCTCATCCCTTGAAGCCGAACGTGATGACGGTGAACTGCACGGTGGTGTTCATGGCTCAGTGCAATTCTTGGAACAAGTGTCGAGCGTCCTGCCAGAGCATGGGTGCCACCAGCTACAGATGGTTCCACGACGGCTGCTGCGAGTGCATAGGGGACACTTGCATCAACTACGGGATCAACGAGTCCAGGTGCATACACTGTCCGCTGGACAAGGAGGACGACGAGCTGAAGGAACAGTACGACGACTACGGCCAAGACGACGACGATCTGACCGACGAAGCGATGGACTAACGGGCTAACCGTCCCCGCCCCGACCAAATGACATTCTTTCGCGTTCCTTTAATGCAGTCTGCAATGTGTGTTGTGCTCACCTGTGGTGTGCGCCCGCGTTCCCGGTGACGAGACTTTCGCGGAGAAACCTCGCGAGTCGTGACTCTCTTTGGCTCGCGTGGCTTTGTTGTGTGGTGTATCGAAATCAATGACATTTTTCTTTTTTCGTGGTACTAGCTTTTATAGAACAAACGAGACGAACAATTTCTCCCTTGAAAAGGGTCCAGGCTCGTTAGGTAATGTAATTTATAAATTATCACGGTTCACATGGCTCAAAGTCATTGACTGTTGACCGTCCGTATTTAACTGACCAAACCGACGGTCGGATATACATAGAAGTGGTCTTGCGAATCGAATATAGCTTTTACATATGTGGAATGTACGAGGGTAAATCCTGGTTAAATATTCATTTTTTACTATGCGCTATTTTCATCGATACGCGATGGATGGTAAAAAATGAATTATTCGATCACACGATTTTACCTTCGTACGAAATTTACGAGCCGTTTCAAGTCTTCCTGTTCCGAAACTTGCCCTGGGTAGGGTGACATCAACGCGCCCGGTAAATGTTTTAACGGTGCGGCGAAGTCGAATGTGACTGAGAATCGTCGATAACATCGAAATCAAAGCAGAAATTGCATACAGTCGCTCTTGGTTTTCATTTTATCGTGGTCACGAATTGTCGAACACTCGGTACGTGTAAGTAGTAGTCCTACTGCGTCGAATTTTTAATACTTGTCCGTGCCATATGAATAGAATCGTACACTTATGAGATTGTTCTTGGCCCCTCCGACGCACTATATATGCCTGTCGATCTTTTCGCTTGCACGGCAAATATTGTCTGTGTTCGAATCAATGTCTTCCTACCGCTCGACCGATCGATAGAACAGCGGAGAATGCATCTGAAATATGAACAGGACAAGTGGGAGCATGCGATTCGAAAGGTACATGGAGAATATGTGCCGTTGATATGATGTACATAGAAATAATCAGGTCGGAGGGATTGCGATATGATACGATATGGTTTAATACTGCACTTGATTACGCCAATGCACAACATTGAGACAATACGAAGGATCGAACAGGTATATTCTCGAAGTAATGTCCAATTCATGCGATTAAATGTAAATAAAACTATTAGTATATATATATATATATATCTATATATCTATATAGATACTTAAAAACTGCGGATACCGTTAAAGCTTTATGAACAGTGGATCCCGAGATCGAAAGACCACTACAAAAATAACGACGAGAGCAATCCGTTTCCCCCGGGGAATTTTTTAACAGACTAGAGAGGGGACACCGAATCGATATCAAATAATCATTCGTGGCTAGACTAGTGTAAATAATATTTTGTTTTTTTTCAAAATCGTTAGAATAAAGTTTTATAAACAAGATTCCACTTCGTGGCAATTTTCCATCCCCCGAATGATTATGTACCGATGCTGCGCGCGATACACAAACACACAATCGTTCAACTCTACAGTGTTATATTGACCATCAAACGGCCGCGTTTCACGCGTTCCTTCAACGATCGTATACATTAATCAATAGTGAACGCACTATTCGCGTCAGTTACCGTCTCTCTCGCGCTTATAAAACAAGCCGATACCGAACGATTTTGATCGTTCCGATCGTTGGGAGATTGGCTACAGCCATCCGGAAGAAAGCACGTAGAACCGGTCGCCTCTGGGGAGAGGTACCAAATATTTATACAGGCGGATGATCGTCCTGTGTCTCGTTGCTCTCCGGCAATTTAATGAAAGGCAAGTCGCTGCCGCTCCACATCGAATACAACTGAGATCTCGCGCATTCCTGAAATCGATAGAGTTTCTCAATACACAGACAATTGTAAACACTCGAAATGAAATCCGTGTTAATTACCCCACCACCGGCGCTCTCGGAACCTGAACGACTATGGGCTGATATGCAAGAGTCTGTCGAAGAGCTGCTTTTACGAGACGGTAACATATTATCTACGGTACCTAGCGAGGAAATGAAAAGTCACGAATGATCCCTTTTATTTGACGGTTTGTTCGTTGTCCGCAATGCGTACGCTTACCGAGTTCCGCCTCTCTATGATCGCTATGCGAATGAATGCTATCTTTGCTGTCTGCGTGACTACCGCTGGCTACGCTATGCTCTGTAACAGAATTCCAAGCAAATAATATTGGCTGGTCGAGCGAGCATCGGATGCGAATCGAATCGTACCTGAATCTCTATGCTCTCCGCTGTGTACACTTTGTTCGCTTTCGCGACGTCCCGATTGATCAGAGTGCTCGCTCGAGTGGGAATCGTGCGGCCAACACCTCAACGGGCCTACTTTGCGTGATCCGGGCCAAATCATCGTGTCGTAACTTGATTCGAAGTTGCACGTCGTCAAAGTTACGCCCGGAATATGATGATTGGTATAAGCTGATAGCTGATTTAATGGTCTAACTCCTATTGGAGACATTAGGAGAACTTGTGCGTAAGTAGCATTTATTCTTAAAATAAACATAGTTGATAAGTGACTCCTATTCTTTCGTTTCGCGTATACACATACCTGGTTTGCAAGATAACAATTGAATTGCCTCCTGGAGGCCATCCTGACTAGCCATGGTGGAAGTTTTCCAGATCGTATCCGGTGTAGCCGATCGACTTCTGTCTTGATGAGGAACCCTCAGCCTTGATCTGGCGTCCTGTCTTGGCCAGTCTGTGATATTTCGACAATCCCATGGCATGGACCACCTTCTCATCGTGTTCTCCGACGCTTCTCCCGACATTTCCGCGGCTGCTGTTTCCGACCATCTCCTCTGAACCTTTGCGAACAATTAAGGGATTAATCTACTCTCAATCTCAGAATTGTTCGTTCGGATAATCGAATTTACCTGCAGAGGAAATAAAGGATATGGTAATGGTGACCTATGACAGTTCTGCACCGACTGTTGCGTCGATGACGAAGACACTAGTGGCGGTGAACTATATAATCTTTCAAAGCACTGTTGTAAAGATGCAATGTCGCATTCGGCAGTACCACTTTGTGAACACGAGCATTCGGCCATTCCACCTGACAAGTAATTCTCTTTTAATAACTGGTAGACTGCAGATTGTACGGAAGCGTGTCGAAAATGAATAGATGAAATTTGAGATGATGGAAAGATGAAGGAAACTTAAACATGCAGATGATTTTCATTTTGCTTAATCAACGACGATTGGCTCTCACCTAGACACTCACAGCAAGCAACACAGAATTGGTATTGCAAATTTATGAAAGTTAATAAATTATCTCTAAGTATGTCCTGAAAACAGTAGTATTCAACATGATAAGGTGTAACAATTTGTTTACGATTCAAGCCGAATGAAAAACAATTACATACATGTTTGTCCCCCTCGTTGTCTCGAGTTTCATGATCTCTCAAAGCAGAGATAATGTGATTCTTTACTGTATTACTGGCCACGTATGTTGCTTTTGTAAGCTCTTCCCAACCAGCGAGGCATTGTCCGGTTAATCGACATTGCGCAGCTGTATCGTGAGCAGACAAAAGAGTTTGTAGCGACTGAGCCAACTTTGCACCGGCTGTGCATAGGCCATTGAGCGTCTACATCAAACAACATGATTGGTTTTCATATTTACTAGCTAAATATTCGTAAAAAAACCACGTACCTGTAAGTACACTAGCCAATTACCAAGACACTCCTTCACCTCTAATTGAAGTTTAGATACTTGATTGTCATTGGACTTTGGTTCTGTTCCACCTTCTGCCATATTTACATAATTTAAAACCTTGGATTTTGCGCCGAGTTTAGTCACCTAATTACATAAGTAAGTATTTAGATTTTTGTCTCCACGGTAAAGGCATCAGGGTCTTTCTAAAGATTCTGAAAATTTCTTGAAATACTTTCGAATATTCCATTCGAAACTGCACAATTCGATTGTCCCAAAAATATTGATAAAATGTTATATTCGCAATTATTTTACGATACAGTGACGAAAATCCAGTATACAACAAATTTATCTGGGATGAGACCTCGGTGTGCCATTGCGAGGTTAAGACGATTTGGTAAATAGAAGGACGTGGGAAAGTAAAGGAAGACAAACGCGTAAGCTTCGATCACCGATAAACAATACGGCAATACACACGATAAGCTGTGTTGTGTATCTATCGTTACGGTAGATGATCAATGAAGGTTTCGGAGAACAAATTTTGTAACAGAAACTATCGCGAATCGATGACTTACATGTTTTCTTGATATTCGGCGTGTGTCCTCGGTAATAAATTAAGGTAAAAAAGAAGAATCACAGATTTCGCTTTGGCGACGAAGCACAGCTACCGGCACCATCGTAACCCGGCTTGTGCATAACTCTTCGCTCGAATCCAACGGTGCCGAAAGCGAAACGAATCCGGGGTACGCGGCGGCAACGCTCGTCTGCGGGTTTACCTTTGAACAGGACATTTAATACAAAGTTTCTTGACCAGATGCCGCCATTTGTACCCGCCATTTATCTGTGCACACATAGCAACGCTACATTATAGAGATATGTACGTATGCACATACATCGATATAACACATGTACGTATTATCTACGTTTTGTTGAAAATTTTTAGAACTCCGGGAGCTCCATCGTCGTTTTTACATCGCGTAAAACATTATTGATAGTTCATGAGTTTAGACCTAGAATTGAATATTGTTTTCACATCGAATACCGTTGAAATTTTTGAAATTAATGCTGGAAGATCGTTCTTTACGATAGACCTATTTATGATTGTAGTAAAATTCTAAATCATATCGAAAAATCATTCTCTATCGTATCAATATTTTATAAAAGGTGATCTATGTACATTTACATGTAAAACGTAAATTAAAAGTATGTATTTCTATATTGTATAATATTTGATAAATGGAAGTAATTTGAGAGTCAAACAAATATATTCAGGGCACTGAAATATTCAGAGGCATTTTCTACACCCATATTACGCTATGAAACCATATTTATTGTAGCAAATGTAAAGAAACTCGCATATGTTTTACAAAAATATGTGTCACAAGAAAAATTGACACGAAATCAGTTGTTGGTTGCGAGACAGTGGCGCCTCTCGCGGCGCAATCAAGAATCGTTCAGGTGTTCGAACAGCGCCAATTAGCATAATGGCAAAACGCACAAACTTTTTGCACAAACGAGTGACAGAAGCGCCAAAGCTAACAGACAAAATTACCGACAGTTGATTTTGGCTAACGTGAACAGTTCGAACATTTTGCCACTAGGCTTTGAATCTTCCATGACTCCGATATACAGTCTCAAAATAACAATAAATGCAATATATACATAAGATAGAATTTCAAAATATTTATGCATTTTAGTTGTCTATACGAAGGATAAATACGCATTATAAAGTAAAAAGTATATCGAGCTAGTCAATGAACAAGTGCAAACGCAGATAAATTGTGTTTTTCATCATTATAATATTATGATTCATATTGTACTCCTACTATGTACTTTCATACATACGAAAACCGATGTTCCACAATGACGAAGCACAACAGAGGCCTTTTTAACTTTTCAACGAAATCTGCTTCTTCGTGCTTCGTCCGCATAACATTTGCATTCTCGCGAACGAAAAGTTCGACATTTCTAACCAATTCTAAAGCGCGTTCCATCGTACCAGAACGTACTTCGGTATTCTTGTGAAACATGAGAAATTAGCAAATCATGCTCTATCTTTTTGTAGGAGAGTGTACACAACCGCGTGAACTCTTAACTCGATCGGGCATCTATTCGGCGGCGATCGGCCGAATTCTGGCCGTGCTTCGTTTCTTTGAGAAATCGAAACGAAGACACGAGGCTCGCCGAGGTGAAAGGGGCCCCAAGTCCCAAGCTCGAGCGCTCGCGAGCGCGTACCAGTGACGTATACCGTTGATAAAAAAAGAAAAGGACGGAGCGTACGACAGAGCGAAAGGCTGGAGGCCGAAGCTGCGAGTGGGACAGGTGAGAGAAGTTGAAACGAGAGATCAGAGAGAGAGAGAGAGAGAGAGAGAGAGAGAGAGCGAGATATATATATATATATATATAGATAGAGAGGGAGCGAGATATATATATAGATAGAGAGGGAGCGAGATAGATAGAGAGAGAGAGAGAGAGAGAGAGAGAGAGAGAGAGAAGTTGAGAGAGCAGAAACGCGATCGCGCGCGAGGGACATCGTGACTCAGGTGGGGGGAGCCGATGTGGTAAGAGGTACGGCGGAGAGGGGATTAACGGTAAAGTCGGTGTAACCTTATAGCAGTGTTTTTCAACCTTTTTTTCGTTTCAGGCACCACCCTAACGTTTCGATATCCTATTGTAGTCCGTGCCGTCTCTACGTAAACGGTGGTGCTCCTTAAACGTCGTCCACCATCGTTGGCCACCTGGGAACAATGAAAACGCGCACGCCGTTCTGCACGCCCGAAACCGTGCGTTGCCTTTGATTTACAGACTTTTTCCGTTCCGGCAATTATCTGCTCGCCTTCGCGGAAAGACAAATTATGTTTACCGCTCGGAGCGTATTCCTTGGCGGAGGCTGCTCATTGTCCACGCCGTTCGCGCCGCATTATTCGAACGACACGGTTCCCGAACGAGCTCATTGTCACGCAATAAAATCATCCGCTAACGACTATATATATATACTAATTTTCCTCGTCTTCTTATCTATTCCGAGTCATCTGGCATTGGGTACGCGGCTCGCTATGGAAACGGAAAGTAGCCGGCTAAATTGGAACAATTGTTTTGCCAGCGCGGCTGGAAAGAATGCAATATCCGGCATTCATTATAATTTCATTAAAATCTCCGCACTCTATTTACTTTCTACGCGGGCAAGAAACGACAGTGTCTCGCGGAGAGAAAGGAAAGGGGAACGGGAGAAAAGCGGCACATCTAGATTCGGTTTAACCAGCAAATTATAATCCATGAATCCGTTGAACTAGGCAGAAAACAGGCCGCTGTTCAGCCGACGACGACGTTTCTAACGAGCAGACCGCGTACACGCTTGCGCGCCCGTATCAATCGAGAATGTGAGAAACCCGATGAAATATGCAGTGTACAATTAGATTTAATAATGCTTTCGCTTTATACCGTGGCATAGTGATCAGAAGAGAAAATGAACTCGCCTCGCCAATGAGCAAGAAAATCCGCTTTTAGCGTAACCGCGCTCCGGTTTTTAAAGTTGCGAGGCGGGAGAGAGGAACAGAGGGAGAGAGAGAGAGAGAGAGAGAGAGAGAGAGAGTTTCTCGAGCAGGTGTCCGAGGCACCATCGAGAATGGGAATCACTGATTCGCGGCGGTATCTCAACGTCGGGAACCATTTCGTCGTCACTGACCACGGCCGGCAGCGCGGCTTTTTTCCCTGGAAACGGGTTGCCAGGACGTAGGCAGCAGGCAGCTGACGCAGGACTTCACCATTTTCGCGTGTCCCTCGCTCCATACCCGACACCGTGGCGTCACCAGTCGAATAAACGAGCCGGAAAGAGGGGCGCACTTGTCGAAAACAACATTGCCGAGACGAACGCGACAACAGATGCGAATGCAGTAATGTCTCCCTTACTGACGCTCGGGTTCTCCACTAAAATGGATAATTTGGGAGGAGGAGATACGATTATTCGAGTTTCGTTGCTCATTTTTATAGTTGTTGGCAGAATAATCGTATCTCCTCTTCCCAAATTGTACATTTTTATACTTAAAAATTACTGTACGGTAATGTCTCCCTTACTGACGCTAGGATTGTTCACTAAAATGGACAATTTGGGAAAAGGAGATACGATTATTCGATCCTTGTGATTCATTTTTATAGTTACGAGTTGTCAAGAATTATAAAAACGAGCCGCAAGGCTTGAATAATCGTATCTTCGCTTCCCAAATTGTCCACTTTTGTGGACAATCTACGCGCGAATTAGAGAAACATTACTGTATTTTTTTTTATAGTTAGCGATCGGTTTATAGTTAGCGATAGTTAGCTGTTGAGCTATAAAAACGAGACGCAAGTGCCGGACAATCGTACCTCCTCTTCCCAAATTGTCCATTTCCGTGGACAATCTGTGCGTCAATTAGAGAGACATTACTGTACTTCTCTTTCCTTTTCCGAGCACGCGTCCGCATTTTCGCTCGCGACGGTCGCATTTTCAGACATCGAACGATGGCTCCGTCGTAAATTTTATATATTTCCAAGAAGAAACAAGTAATCGAACCCTCGAGAGCGGGTCAGCGAGATCGTTTCAGCTTTATTCAAATTTATGCGAATCTCGTTGCAACCGAGCCGAAGAGTCGTTCCCCTCTCGAGCCAGGATTGTTAAACTATTTACCATCGACATCGTCGCGCGAAAATGTTAGCACTTTCGAAACCCAAGCCAGCACTTCGTGGCGTCACGTTTTACAATCCGCTAATGTTTCTATCGGCCGCTACTGGTTTACGGAAGAAATACGGTATCGGCCATTAAGTGGGTAATCGTCGGCGCGCACACGCGCGAGTATTTGCGTTACCGCGGTACATACTCCGATTCTGTATAATTTTCCGCGCCTCTGTAAATCGTTACGCTCGCTCGCCAAGCGGGAGAAGGCAATTAACTTTTTCTAAATCAATCGATCCATCCGCGCGCTGTAATCACGCTGCTCCAGTAAAAGTTCCTGCTCGACCGTATGTTAATCTTGTCTCACCTTGAAAGCGTTACGTTATAGAATACGTTAAACGCCGACTGCGTTAAAAACGCGCGTTCACGCAGTCTTTTCGATCCGGATCCGCGACGCGACAGGGAACGAAATCGGTGGATGTTCCGTGTTCACGATTGCTTCATCGTGGGAAGCGGTTGCAGCCCGTCGAAACTCGAGTAAAACGAAATCGCAGTGTCGCGGTGGATGGTAATGCCTGCTTGGATCGACACGCGTTCGTTTCTTGCGTCGGTCGGACAACCGTTTTTCGACCAGAATCGTTTCTCGCTCGGTTCGCGATCGCGGAGAAATGCGAGTTTAAAAGGCGCCGTGAAAGATCGGGCATTTCGCGCTGAAGAGGCTGGCCGGCTCGGCTCGGCGAGAAAGAAGTTTCTCGTTAAAAAGAGGAGGAGAAGGAGAACAAAAAAGTGAGACAAAGCTGGTGGTGGCGGCGTGTCCGGTGGTGCAAGACACCTCCTATTCTCGCAGCCGGTCATAAGGCGAAAAGTCGAGAGGAACGTGTAGCCGAGCGTAGGTTCCCCCGTAGCGGGGCCCGGCTGGATGCACGGGCATACGGCTGTGCACAGCAAGGTACACAGCAGCGTACTTTCATAATGTCGAAGGAGTACAGGAGACCCGAGGCCCCGTGGCACTCGACGGACGGCTAGTGAAGGGAACGGATCGTCATAGTCGGTCGACGCTCGAGGCTCGACCAAACGGCCAGCGAAAATGCCGTCCGCATAACGCCGCGTCGCGCTTAACGGTCTCCGGTAACAGGTGAATCGACGACGATTTCCGGGAATCGGTGGTGAGTTTTCAGCGGAGTTTACTCGATCGGAGAACCGGACGAACACGTTCAGCCGGAGAGAGAGAAAGAAACACCCAGAGACACATCGCGCGCGCGCGCGAGACGTCATGAAGAATCTGGAGGAGCGTTATCGCGTCGAGGCGCGAACCGCCGATCGGTCCCATCGCGCCGATTGACCGAACGATGTGGAAGGACGATCGTCGGACCTCTTGATCCCGGTGACCAGAGAGACTAGAAGTTAGCGCGCGGTGATCATCGGTGCGAAGCGCAAAGAACGCTTTTCCCTTGGATTCCCGTTCACGGACTCGTCGAAGGCTCGTCTCGTCGGCTAGCTTGCCCCGGCCGCGAAGCATTCCAGTGTAAACACCGCGAATCGTCGTCGACGCATTAACGGACAAGCACGTTGCGCGCTCGAAACGAGTTTTCTCGATCGGTGCCGCGGGCGCGACCGACACGAACAAAGAAACTTCTCGTGAAAGTTGCCGCGAGGTGCGCGGGATAAAGAGTGTTCTCCCCGGTAGCGCGGGCATCGCGCGTCGTGCCTACATCGCGGATGATCGCGACCACGGCCAGTGAGTGCTCAATGTGATCCCGCCTATCGTCAGAGGCCAGCAAACGACATCATATCGAGGATGACGCGAGAGATTCTCCTATCCCTTCTGGGGATCCTCGTCGTGGGCGCGGAAGGCACGTATTCGTCCGAGTCGCATTTCTCCGGAGCCGACAGGCCCCGGTCGGGCCCCGCTCCCCCCTCCTCCGATCGTTTACTCGGGCACGTACACTTTGCTTCGGTCGCGACGACTCGTTCCGTCTCGTTTCATACGACACGAGGTATTCGGAAGAAAGCTGCCGTAAATATGCCAGATCCGAAGATTATCGTTCGATGTACGCGGCAACGCTCGAGCAGCCTATACTTTGGCGCCGAGTGAAACGGGATCTTCTCTTTTCTTGCGGCAAAAGGAAAACAGAGTCGGCAACGAGGAAGAGATACGCGACTCTCTCTCTATGCGCGTTTTCTCGCGCGGTATTCCCTGCGATCTACTCGAACGGAAATCGGATGTATCGAGCGTCCGCGCGCGCGAGTCGATATCTCCGGGTCCGTTGAACCGCGCATGGTCGAATATCGGCGCCGGGAACGAATCGCAGGAATTTCGTATCCGACGATTCGTTCGTTCGTAGTTTTCCATCTGTCTCTGCGCGCTCCGTTTGTCCACGGACACGCCGAGGAAAGGAATACGAGCGGACAAAACAGGTACCGCCCACTCGGTTCTCTCGTCCACGCGGATTTTCTGGTGTCTCGAGGTCACCCGGTGTATCCGCCTCGAATAAAAGCCGCGCAGGTCCCCGTCGCTTTGCCTGTCGCGGCTGGCCTAAACCTTGCGAATTCCATCCGATTTTTTCATCTCTTTCTGCGAAGGGAAAAACAACCGGGCTATTTTCGTCCGAGGACATCGGATAGGAGATGATGTCGCGGAGAAGAAGGCGACACACGGTATCGAAGCTCTTCGGCCCCGAAACAGAAGCGGCGCGATTCGGCCAAATCGGCGCGGCGAGGCGAGGCCGAGCGCGCGGAGCCGCGCGTTCGTCGAGCGTGAAAGCGGAAATAGGGTGTTTTCGTGTACGTTGCCGTTTGCTGGCAGCCTGGCGAATATGTACTGTGCGCCGCCGGTTAGGGCTGGGCCCCGATCGATCCGATTTCGTGTTTTCCCCCCGGACCGAGAATTGGTCGACTTAGTTTCAGCGGGACTGGTCGGCCGAGTCCGAAGCTGGTTTCGCCTTTTGTAACTCTTATTCTACTAGGTGACCTACATGAAACACCTTGATAGTCCGAACACCGTTTCTACGTCGCGCCTATTTAACGGCCACGCGCGGTATATTACATTCGCGGCGCCGGATTAGCTCGCCGCGAACACGTGGACGGACACCGATCGTTTCGCCGGGGGTGCGCGATTTATCTTGTCGCCGGTCGGCTGTTTCGCGTGTCGAACTGCCTGTTTCACGGCACTTTCGATTCGTCGTCATCGACACAAATTTAGCGAACGTACCCACCCAGTCCGTTTACGTCAGGGGTGTCAAACTCAAAAGCTAACTTGGGCCACATAAACAATGCTTAACTTTAGGTGGGCCGCAAAAAAAGATCAATGTTCATAAAAACAAATATTTTTATTTTGACTAGTACATTATAATAAACATATATAAAGTTAAATTATCGTTTGCGTCCTGATACTTGACATCTCTTCTCCGATACTATCTTTCCTATTTCGGGAGAAATTTTATTGGCCGAGACTACTTTCAAAATTTCTAATTCACGTTTCTATTTTATTTCTACTTTGCGTCGGATATGTTGACTGGGCCGCAAAAATGTTCATCTCGGGCCGCGAGTTTGACACCCCTGGTTTACGTCATCCGGCCGCGCTAATGCCGCCGCNTCAGGGGTGTCAAACTCAAAAGCTAACTTGGGCCACATAAACAATGCTTAACTTTAGGTGGGCCGCAAAAAAAGATCAATGTTCATAAAAACAAATATTTTTATTTTGACTAGTACATTATAATAAACATATATAAAGTTAAATTATCGTTTGCGTCCTGATACTTGACATCTCTTCTCCGATACTATCTTTCCTATTTCGGGAGAAATTTTATTGGCCGAGACTACTTTCAAAATTTCTAATTCACGTTTCTATTTTATTTCTACTTTGCGTCGGATATGTTGACTGGGCCGCAAAAATGTTCATCTCGGGCCGCGAGTTTGACACCCCTGGTTTACGTCATCCGGCCGCGCTAATGCCGCCGCCGGCGCGAACTTTCATCCGCGCCGGACAAAAACGCGTAGGAAGGACGTATCTTTGGCGTTAGAGCGATTTACCAGGAAATTACAGCTTCGAGGACGATAATTGATGCCCGGTGTTGCTTCGAGTATGCGTTTATTTATTACTTGGTAATGAAGGGGGTGGTGGTCGGTACGAAGGACAGGCAGCCGTTAACTATTAATTAACTCGAGACGTTCATTTTTCTAAGGCACAAGTTTTGTCGTGTCTCGAGACTCGAGATTCGTTTCAATTACAGTAATGTCTCTCTCTAATTGACGAGAGATTGACGCTCGGATTGTCCACAAAAATGGACAATTTCGGGAGAGGAGATACGATTGTTCGAGCTTTGCGGCTCGTTTTTATAGTTACGGATTGTCGATAATTGTAAAAAGATGGCGCAAGATTCGAATAATCGCGTTACCCTTTCACAAATTGTCCGTTTTTGTGTACAAGCTAAGCGTCAATTAGGGAGAATTTACTGTACCAGTTTATGTTCTTTCGAGAATCGTCAACAAATCGTCTGGAACATTCGTTGAACGCTATATCGCCTCAAAACGAGAGAATCGTGTCACATTATACAGTAAATTCTCCCCAATTGACGTTCAGATTATACAGTAATGTCTCTCTAATTGACGCTCAGATTGTCCACAAAAATGGATAATTTTAGAAGAGAATATGCGATTATTCGCGATTCATTTTCACATAGTCACGAATTGTCAACAACTATAAAAACGAGCCACGAGGCTCGAACGATCGTATCTCCTCTTCTCAAATTGTCCATTTTTCTGCACAATCTGAGCGTCAGTTAGGGAGATATTATTATACTGCGATAGTAACAGCTTGAATAGGATTTTTAGAAATATTAACACATTAAAGGCGGGGGATCTTGACGAAAGTATGCTAGGTAACGCGGCGACCGCCCCGCCTCGTTTTTTGTCCTAGAGCGGGCGATATTTTGTGTAATCATAAAAAAATTTAGACTTAAAAATGTTTATTTAAACTCTTAAAACTAAAGGAACTAAACACTAATTACAAAAAATGTTTTAAAGTACATATTTATGAGAAGTCGAGATAAATCGTAGTACAGCTGTTGTAAACAGTTCGATCTTTTTCTCTGCCCGAGGGTAGTTCGAGCGCCATGTGCGCAGTCTTTTTGGCTTCTTCAGGCATCTCTAACCTTTTTGTATGTTTTCCAAGTGGATTCTTCTTCCCCTACATGAATGATAATAATAATAATAATAATAATTTTACTCGTCGTACGAGTCTCTCTCTGCAGAGCTCGCCAGCGAGAACATTCTTTGCACGACAGTGTGCAAAGTTACTTCGATCAGCAATCGATCGTCGAGCCTGATAACTTCGAGCGAGAACTCTGAACCAGAAATCATTGGATGCAAAACGAGATAAATAGAGGAATACTGCTATAGATATCTTATTTACGAAAGACCTCTCCGTACGTTCATCGCCTCGACGCCGAGCATCGGCGTCCCGCGCCGTTCTCCGGCCTCTGGATGCAGCCGTGTGGCGAAAGGGTTAAACGTTGATTCTCCGTCGTAGAACGTGCCGACGCGAGAGCCGCGGCAACGGCCGTTTCTTCGAGCCGTCGTTTTCCACGGTAAAACACGGTAAATAGAATGGTCAGCGATCGTCGATACCTGTGCGTTTATGTGGGAGAGTTCGGTTCGCACGGCTCTGATCCGATTCCAGTGCCGTTGCAAAAGTGTCGGTCGAGATGGATAGGGGTTGATAGGTCGATTAATAGATTACGGATAGAGTCGGTGGCCGGTGCTAACTCGTTCAAGTGGGCAAGCAAAGCGTCCTCGAGATTCTAGGCGAACGCGTTTCTGTCCTCCTCTTTCCTACTCGCCGGAGGAAAGAGGAAGCGTGTCGAACGCTGCAAGCCGAGCTAGGCACGTTTCCACCGAGCTGAGACGGTCGTAACATTTAACCGGGCCGGGTCTGCCCCGACCGGCTAGACTCATTGTCAGAAGCACGCGAAACTCGCGATAATCTATGCCTGTGCCGCGGTAAACGCAGCACGCGTGGGTGGGGCATCGGGCCACCACGCCCGACGCAGGTGAAATTTCGAGCCGGCGCTCGTTACTTCCATCCGATCCCGGCCCGATATGCGATCAGCATGCACGATCCATGCGCGAGTATTTTGGCGATGCCGCGCGTTACACAATCCCGTGTCCCCGGAGTTTCGCGTGTCACGTGTGCTTAGGTTACATCCAGATCGAATGTTCCGGCTTGAATGACAACGAACCGAATTCTCCGGGCTTTCGCCCATAGATCGATCGGAGGCCCATGAGCGAGAACCCATCCTGGACGAGCTGGGACAGCCAATGAACGGTTCGCTCTTGTTTTCGCGATCGAACAGACTCGAACAGCGTCGCCGACTCGACTGTTCCGGTCGCAAGGTGGGCTCGATTAACCCTTAGCGTTCCGCGCGTTTCTCGAGTACAGTAATAATGTATCTCTAATTGACGCTCGGATTGTCCACAAAAATGGACAATTTGGGAAGAGGAGCCTTGCGAATTCGAGCCATGCGACTTGTTTTTATAGTTATCGATCGTCAACGATTTTAAAAACATGGTGCAAAGCCGGAATAATCCTATCTTCTGTTCCCAAATTGTCCATTTTTCTGCACAATCTGAGCGTCAGTAAGGGAGACATTAGCTGACGCTCAGATTGTCCACTAAAATGGATAATTTGGGAAGAGGAGATACGGTTATTCGAGCCTTGCGGCTCGTTTTTACAATTGTGGACAATTTATAACTATAAAAATAAACCGCAAGGCTCGAATAATCGTATCCCCTCTTCCCACATTGTCCATTTTTCTGCACAATCTGAGCGTCAGTAAGGGAGACATTGTACCGC